CATAGACTTCTTCAATATCTCAAGTAGAGGTTTGAATTTTTTCTTCAGTTCCCTCAGCTTGAGAAATGCTGAGTGTGTTCTTCCCTTTTGGTTTTCTAACTCCAGGTCTTTGCACATAACTTGACATAGACCATAACACTGTTGCTGTTAGGTGCCATCAAGTACCAACTCATAGCGACCTTATTCACAGCAGAACGAAACACTGCCCAATCCTGGGCCAACCTCACTACTGTTGCCATGCTTGAGTCCATCGATGCTGCCACTTGGCCAATCCATCTTGTTGGGGGTCTTCCTCTTTTTCTCTGACCCTCCACCTTACCAAACATGATATCCTTCTCCAGTGACTGGTCCCTCCTGACAATATGTCCAAAGTATGAGATACGAAGTTTGGCCCTCTTGGCCTCCACGGAGCACTTTGGCTGCACTTCTTCCAAAACTGATCTATTGGTTCTTTTGGCACTTTCAATATTCTCCTCAAACACCATAACTTAAAAGCATCAATTCTTCTGCAATCTTCCTTTTGCATGCATATGAGGTTATTGAAAATACCATGGCTTGGGTCAGGTGCACCTTAGTCCTCAAGCTGACATCTTTGCTCTTCAATGCTTTAAAAAGTTCCTGTGCAACACATTTGCCTAATGCAATACGTTGTTTGATTTCTTGACTGCTGCTTCCATGAGTGTTGATAGTTGATCCAAGAAGAATGAAGTCCTTGACAACTTCAATCTTTTCTCCGTTGATAAGAATGTTGTTTATCGGTCCAGTGGTGAGGATTTTTGTTTTCTTTACATTGAGATGTAATCCATACCTAAGGCTATGCTCTTTGATCTTCATCAGTAAATGTTTTAAGTGCTCTTCACTTTCAGCAAGAAAGGTTGTATCATCTGCATATCGCAGGTTGTTCATGAGTCTTCCTCCAATCCTAATGCCATGTTTTTCTTCATAGAACCCAGCTTCTTGGATTATTTGTTCAGCATACAGGTTAAATAAGTATGGTGAAAGAATACAACCTTGTCGCACACCTTTCTTAATTTTAAACCATTCAGTGTTCCCATGTTCTGTTTGAACAACTGCCTCTTGATCCAGATCCAGATTCCTCATGAGCACAATGAAGTGTTCTGGAAGACTCATACTTCACACTATTGTCCAGAGCTTGTCATAACAATGGTCAATTCATCTCTTTTTCCCGTGTACAGCTTATTGACGTCAATTACATCATCCAAGCTGTGTGAACTTTGCCCACATTCAGAACCACCTTCCCCATCAGCATAAATAAACAGTGATCATTACCTAGGGAATGCTTCCCCTACTCCCCTGGAATTATTTTAGTCATGACTAAAACAGAGAAAGAAAACCCAGATCAATCAGGTTTTTCAGTTAACTGACCCAATAGATTGCTGAAAAATCCAACAACAACCTATTGGGTCAGTTAACTGAAAAATCCAGGTAAAGTCTGGCTTCAAGTACAGCTGGATACCAGCGCTCAAAAGTCTTCAGAACTGAGTTTGTGTCCTCTCAGGCCTGTTCTCCTCTTGGTTTTGTTCTCAAGCAGGCGCCCCCAGGCGGTGGGTCCTAGCAATAACCGGATTCTTCTATCTCAGTTCAGCAGCCAAGAAGGAATCTTGGTGTGGTGCTGTGGGTTAATGTGCAGGACTGTAAAGTCGGTTTAAACCGCAAGGTTGGCAGTTCAAGCTCACCGGCCACTCCTCAGAAAGCCTATACAAGGTTACTCTGGGTCAGAGGCGACTCTAAGGCACTTAACAACAACATCTAAAATGGGGTCTTCAGGTGTGGTTTTAGACCACAAGGTCTGTTTGAGCTGCAACGTCAGCAGTTCAAACCCACCAGTCCTTGGAAACCCTATACAGGGTCACTATGAGTTGGAACTAACTCAATGGCACTCAGCAACAACATCTAAAATGGGCCAGTCTTGGGTGGTACAAGCTATTAACATGCAGCTCAGCTGCTAACTGAAAGGCTGAAGCTTCGTTCAAGTCCTTAACAAAAGTTTGCAGACCTCGTAATGTACTTCTGAAAAACCAGCTGTTAGAAACCCGATAGCACACGTTCTACTCTGACACACAGGGAGAACAGTTGCTCTGTAATCATTATGACAGCTCGGTTAAGTAGATGGCAAGCAGAACACACTGCTAGGGTCAGACTCGAAGGGCATGCATGGGCTTGTACCCTGGTATAGGCCACATACCCAAGGACACTTTTGATTCTCTCAACAATCTGATAAGGTAGATACTAAAAGCAGTACCGTGCCTATTTTTCGGATGTGGGAAATGAGACCAAGAAGTTCAGTAACTTGTCCAAGGGACAGAGCCAAGATTAGAAGCCAAGCGGTCCGTCTCCATAGTCCATGCTGGAATGGGCAGTCTTGAGAGGCTATGAGTTTCTTGTCAGTGGGAGTATTCAAACAGAAGCTTGTTAACAGCTGTGAGGGATGTGGAAAAGGGATTCCTACAAAGAACAGAAACTGGGAAACAGCTAAGATCCTTTCCAGTGTGGAAACCCAGGATCTTAGGAAGAGGTAGAGAGAGAGTATCAGAAAAATTGGTCTAGTCAGCCAAGCCAGGAGGGAGGAGCTCTGACGCCGGAATATGGTGGGAGAAGACAGGGGAGGCCTGAAAGAAACTTCTCCTGAGAGGGATCCAAGAGTTCTATGAAACCTTGAAACCGCTCCTGAACTCCACCGAAGATACACCAAGAAATGAACTGATGTGCAGACTGGTTTGCTGAGTGAACCTGCCTTCAAGGAGGCAGTGAGGGCCTATCTGGGCCACACCTGGCCCTACAACTTCAAACCAGTCTTCTGCCTTGGGTTGCCACGTCCACCCCTGAGGGAGCTGTCTAGCTGAGCTGTCAGCAAGTCCTGACTTTTGGTTAGCCTCAGACGAGCCCAGACGGTCTGTTAATAACTGATGAACTCAGAAGAGGCGGGTCCACTGGGCCTCCTGAGCCTCAGGCTCTTGGTGTGTAAAATGAGGACAGTGACAAGACAGGTTGGTCTCTGAGGTTCTGTGATTGTGGGGTTCAGTCAGGGAAGCGAGACCAAGCCTGGGCTTCTAGAACATTCCAACACTCCAAGTGGCCTCACTGAGAGCATAGTCCAAATTACTAAAGAGCCTGAATTAGGAAATAATTACAACGTATTGGAAGTTTGCTTCATTCAAGTACATGTATGAGTAATATGACAAATTAACTGACGTATTTACAAGCAGTCCTATGGGTCCTGTGCTAATAAATAATTGAATTTCAATTACAATCGCTTTTTTTGTGCATGAAAATGGAATGTACTGAGATTCTTTAAAAGTTGGTGTGTTTTTTTAAGAGAGTTTCTTACTCCTTCCTACAAACTGCCTGACTTGGCACATCCAAGTCCAAGTGTGACTATGAATTCAGAATGAGTGTGGCCTAGATGAAGGACACCTCTGAGCAGAGCCCAGTGACCTGGGCTCATACTTTTTCTTCCTGGGTACCTTGCCCTGTGCACTTGTCCTTCCTTATCTGTGGAGTCACGCCTTTGGAGCACCTGGGCTTAAGCATGAAGCTTAGTGGATCCGTGGAAGCAAAGCAAAGTACAAAGGACCATTCTTCATTTCCAACCAAGATATGGAACGGTGAGTGGCACATGGAGTGACTCAGCCTGAACCCCAAACCTCAGGACAACAGAACTCTGATGAGCCCACCTAGGGAGTGGCTGCTGCTTTTGCAACCTGGAGTCCAGAGCACCTGACCTTGAAACCAAGCCCAATCACAAAGCATTTATTGAACATCTTGCTAGAAGTGCTTACACTAAGCATTGTCAAAACTTTAATACTGGATAGAGGAAGGAAAGGTATAGAGCTGTGTTTCACTGTAAGACAAGCACTAGACAGCTAACCTCAATGTTACAGGTTCAAATCTACCAGCTGCTCCTTGGAAACCCTATACAGGGTCGCTATGAGTTGGAACCAACCTGGAGGCACTTAAAAACAGCAAGCTGAGTTTGGAAGGCTAGTAGGATTTTGACAGTTTGATTGAATGAGCATGGAAACACTCTGGGAAGAAAGAAGGCATGGGACTCTGAAAGTGCCTGAGTGGGGAGGCCCGAGGGGTGTGTATGGAACCTCCTCCTTCCCCTCCTCCTGGCTTCATTCACATATGCAGTAGTGTGCAGCCTCTCAGTGCCTCACAGGAGCATGGGCTCAGGCCAGGATGCTCCCGGGGCTCCTTGAACAGAAAGCAGCCATCCCAGCAGAAATGTGGCAGTTAGGGCTGCCACTAACATCCTTACCAGGAGCCCTTCTAAAAGCTCAGGTAAGAGAGAGCCAGGTGTTAAAGGTTAGGTGTTAAATGGTGACATGGTGCTCTTCATAGCTCAAGGAAGACACTAACAGACTCAATCAGGGAGGGTATTTGCTTAGGATGCCTTTTCTGAAACTGAGAGAAGGTCTTTCCTCTCTTCCCAACTGCCCCTGAAACCAGCAACACAGAGCAGTGCTGAGCAGGAGCAGCTGTGCTCCGTACAGCCACAGAGACGGGAGGGAAACCACCTCACCCACCGGGGTGGAAGGATTCAGCGCTGTGCTCTCAGCAGGGTGGAGTTCCTTTGGTTCACTAGCACACACACGAATTGGGATTCAGGTCTGTATGTCAATTGCTGAGCTTGAATTGTTTTACTTTAAGAAGATGTTTTTTTTTTTTTGTTTTTTTTTAAAAAAAGATGTATTCATACAGTATTTAAGTTCGGGTGGTAATGTAGGCTTGGGGAGACGAATCTTATCAATCATTCCTCGTGTATCTATCTGCCTGTCCCAGTGCTTACAGCTGGAAACAAGTCACTTCCCAACTAACTCAGGAACTAAGCTTTCCAGAGCCTTCCAGTTACCACTGGGGGCTCCCAAATCACAGAGCTCTTCCCAGCCCTCAGGAGACAGGGAGAGGGAATGAGGACGAGGCCTGGGCAGAGAAGGCTGACTTGAAGGTGAGCACGTGGTTGGCACAAAGACTCTTTAAAAAGCAGTCTCTTTGGCAGGTGTAGATGGCACCTCTGTGATCTCGTCTTTCTTCTCTGGAGTCACCGTCCCATTTCTCTTGGCAAAAATCTGGTTTATCTCCACAAATGTTTTGCCTTTGGTCTCAGGAATAACCACATGGATGTACACAGCAGTCAGGAGACAGATACCCGCAAAAATGATGAAACTGTAGGGACCAATGAGCGCCTAGGCCAAGAAAGAAAGCAGGGGCAATGGAGAAGGCCAAGACAGGCGCAGTGGCGAACACCTGACACCCGTTTTAAAGGACTCTGTCATGATGGTAGCTCTAAAATGAAATGACTACTTTTAACTTGCAGAATGATCTCTCACAGCTGGAGTGGAAACTGCCGTGGTGACCAGAAACCCAGGGCACATGCCATCCCTGAGGTAGTCTTCTGGATGGCACAGTGGTTCAGTGCTCAGCTAGCTGGTGCTTCACACCCACTAGCAGCTCTGTGATCTGCTCCCATGGAGATTAGAGGCTCAGAAACCCCATGGGGCAGTTCTACTGTGTCCTATAGGGTCGCTCTCACTCAGAATGGGTGCAACAGCAACAGCTGCCACCGCCTTTTCACTACAGGGACACGGTGTCCTCAGAGGCCTTAGGATGTTGAGAACATTGAGCTAATGGGCACTTCCTCAGAAGAGAGACAGGAGGTGACAGGCAGGATGCTCACTTTTGCTCTAACTTGCTCTCTCTGGTCTGCTGTGTGCACAGGCCAGAGTCTCTAAGGAATGAGCCCTGCACAGTAGGAGCATCTGAACTCTCTCTGGTATGTGGGAAACTGACCTATTGAAAGAGTGACCTTAAGTGGGTCCCTAGCCTCTCCATGGGAGAGATATGAGGCTTTCTACTCCTGTACAGAAGGAGCTCTGATAGAGTAGTGGTGACGAATCAGCCTGTGAAGCTTACGGTCAGAAGTTCAAAACTACCAGCTGTTCTGTGGGAGAAAGATGAGGCTTTTTACTCCCGTAAAGATTTACAGCCTCGGAAACCCTGTACAGGGTCACTAAGAGTCGGAACCCACTCCACGGCACATAACCAACCCACTCCTGTACGGAGTTACAGCCTTAGAAATCCTACACACAGGCTCACTATGAGTTGGAACCGACTTGATGGCACACAGCAGCAGCAAAGTGGGTCTCACAGATATTTAGGGAGCTGCGGATATATCTGAGTCCACTCTTGCTGAACTAGCAAACGTTCTTAGTTGAAGGGGGACTCCTTATCCTTTGCCGGAACCTTGGGGGTGGGGCAGGGTGAAAGAGGCAGTGGGGAGGTGGCCACCTGCCCACACTGCTTGTTAGGTGTGTGCTCACCTGGATGGAAAGGAACACGAAACCGATGATGAAGTTGGTGAGCCAGTGCACAGCCCCGTCCACCGTGAATGCGGCCGGTCGGGAGGACTGCAGGAAGATCTCAGTCCTCACCACAGATGGGACGGGACCTGGGGCAGAGAGCACAAGATGAGGAGATGAAGCAGGACTTCCAGAAGCTCTGGCCTCAAACCTAGACCCCATGCCGTCGGGCTGTACTTTCAACCACATGTAGGTCTACAATCACATAATGTTTTTGTGTTTTTTAATTCCGGAGAGGAAGGCAGTTGTTGTTGTTAGGTGCCATGGGAGTCGGTACTGACCCATAGTGACCTTATGCCCAGCAGAACGGAACACTGCCCGGTCCTGGGCCAACCTCACTACTGTTGCCATGCTTGAGTCCATCTATGCTGCCACTTGGCCAGTCCATCTCGTTGAGGGTCTTTCGCTTTTTCTCTGACACTCCATCTTACCAAACATGATATCCTTTTCCAGTGACTGATCCTTCCTGACAATATATCCAAAGTATGAGAGACGAAGTTTGACCATCTTGGCTCTGGCTGCACTTCTTCCAAAACGGAGGAAGGTAGTAACTCTCCTTTTAAAAAATTATTATTTCCCCCTAGTGGTTTTAGAAACCCTGAACTCCAGGGCACACCCCAACCCCATAGCACCGCCTTTCCTTGCCCCTGCCTGGCTTCCTTCACACATGCAGTGGCAGCTGTGCAGCCTCTCAGTCCTGGCTCAGGGCAGCCCCTGCCCCACAGGCATTGGCGGGGCACCAACTCAGGGCACGATGCTCTCGGGGCTCCTTGAACAGGAGGCAGCCACACCAGCAGAAATGGAGCAGTTAGGGCTGCCACTGCCATCTGTGTTCCAGGTACCCACACACCTGCTCCCTGTCCAGTCCCCTCCATGTACCCCGACACGGCCTAGGCATGGGCAAAGTCCCAGTCCAGTAGCCAGTTCACAGCTGTACCCAAGGCCAGCCTCCTGTATCCAGTGCATGCAGCTTGTGGACCTTGTCTGGTGGGTAGGTGTCAGTGGGGGCTGCAAGCCTGGGCTGCTCTTGCTCTTCAGCTGGGTGGAACAGTGGGCAGGCCTGGGGACTGCCTGTGTATAATGTAGCATTCACACGATGTCCAAATCTGAAAACATCTTATTTCACAGAACATATCATAGACATTAACCATGGCTGTACCGCCTACCCGACATGCTCAGGAAAGACAGCTGCTCTGTTTAGCGGGACAGCAGTTCCCGAGCATGCGCTCTTCCCCTCCACACGTTTCCTGGAGTTGAGCAGCATGGTGGTGGGACAACTCTGTCAGAGGTCACCAAGGTCAGATCACAGCCTGTGTGGACAACCCAGCTGGGACCTGACAGAGGCCCACCCCTACACAAAAGGTATTTGAGAAGTGCCTGGGTCCCTGGAATGAATGGCCTTTATTTTCACGGATGTCAAAGTCCCTAGGTGGTGCCGAGGCGTAAATGAAATTGTCTCCTAACAGAAAGACAATTCTGTTAGGCGGTTCCAGCCCACCCATGTTGTTGTTGTTGTTATGTGCCGTGGAGTCGGTTCCGACTCATAGCGACCCTGCACAGGGTTTCCGAGGCTGTTAATCTTTACGGGAGCAGAACGCCTCATCTTTCTCCCGCGGAACCGCTGGTAGTTTCAAACTGCTGACCTTACGGTTCGCAGCCCGATTCGTAACCACTACGCTACCAGAGCTCCTTTCCAGCCCACCCATAGGCATCTTGAAATAAAGGCCTAGTGATCCTCTTCTGGAAAATCAGCCAGTGAAATCACTATGAAGTGCAGTTCTGCTCTGACACTCATGTGGTCAACGTGAGTTGGAGGTGACTTAACAACTGGTTTTCTTACAGGCGCCAAGCATTTTCTCGAAGCCCTTGCTCTTTTTATCTGAATTTCTTAGGGAGGCAGTTAACGATGGCCTCTCCTACGCTCTCTGTACTGGGGAAGTGCTGCCCTCCTGTGGCAGATCTGAGGAATAGCAGACACTTGCCGGTAAAACATTCCTTGGATCTAGGTCAAATGTTTTTTCAACCATTTTCGCCTTGTTTAAAACACAGCACCTTGTATAAAATGTGTCCAAGATAAGTACTGGACTGGTAACCCAGGTCTGTATATAGACACCAGCCCAAACCAGTTCAGAATCAACTAGAAGGCAACTGGTTTGGCTTTTGTTGTTTGGAGGGGTATGCCATGCTCCAAATGCATGGTACAAAGACTGTAGACAGGGAAAAAACTCTAAGCCTCCAATGAAGTTCCCTTGGGACTCGAAGATGTGCTGAAATGGAAAGTTACATCATAGGGAAGGAGCCCATTCTTTAGATCTCTTCCTGAAGAGGGCACTGGTTGTGGGGAGGGCTGTTACCTTCATGACTCCCTATGCTTGCTCCCTCTTCTCTGTGGGGGAGTGACCACCATGTGCTCCTTTAGGACCTGGCTCACACGTCACTATCCACCATGGCATCTCACACCTGATGGCACAGGTGATCATCCACTTTCTCCAGGAAGAGGGCAGGGCCTTGCTCCAGGCTACCCCATAGGCAGGAACAGGTGGAACAAGCTGGAACCCAGGTCTGTACACACACACCAGCCCATTCCCCAAAGGCCTTCCAGCCCCATCAATGCAAGGTGCACTTGAAAAGCCCTCCAGCAGAGAACCCCATTTCTCCAAGACCCTCATATATTATTAATGTGTTGGTCTTGGCTGCACCCAGAGCTGAGCATAGCCACAGACTAGCAATTCTCCATCGATGCCTTGAAATGGATCAATGCCTTTGTTCTGGTATGTGAATATCTCTTTCAAAGCAAAGATTTAGCAGGAATGTTAATATTAGAGTGCTAGGAGGTGTCAAAGCTAGGAGCCCTGTTGGCAAAATAGTTAAGGCTGCTAACCAAAAGGTTGACGGTTCAAACCTACCCAGCAATTTTTCAGGAGAAAGACCTGGTGATGTGCCCTGTCTAGAAAACCCTACGAGGCAGTTCTACCATCACATGGGGTTGCTATGAGTTGGAATCAACTCTATGGTACCCAGCACCAATTACATGATTCAAAGTAGGGAGAAGAGTCTCTGGTTTGAGTTGGCTGCTAGGGAATGGGAACCTGGTCTGAGGCTGCTGACAGGTAGGTATATACACAGAATAAGTAACACAGGATCTTAGTGGAGCTGAGGGGAACCAAAGACAACTTCACCTGGGACCCTGCACTTAGAGGCTAACACAAGCAAGCAGAGGGATTCTAAATGAACCCAGGGAGGCTTGACTGGCTTGAGCTCCCTCTTTACTGAGGCTCATCTCCTCACTGGGTTCCAGGTCTGAATTTAGGTTCCTCCGGAGCCACAGAAGAAGCTCACTAGGGCACCAGCCTGATGTTCACATCCCTTAGGTTGGCAGGGTTGTGGAGGGATACAGGTACTCACTGGGCCCAATGGAATGTCCCGCGATGTAGGTAAAGACACAAATGACTCCAAGGTAAGACAGCTCAGGTACCGTGTTCTGTGGGGACAGGCAGAGCTGTCTGTGTCTGGGAGGATGTGGTCTGGAACCTGAGAGTGGAGGCCAAGAGCCCCACAAACAGAAGGGCCCCCCTGTAGGTTCACTTCCCACCACAGGAAGAAGGAACCACACTTAAGTTTTCCAGCACCTTATGTAACTATGTAAGGAGCTCTGGTAACATAGTGGTTATGAGTCAGGCTGTGAACCTCAAGGTCAGCAGTCTGAAACTACCAGCTGTTTTGCAGGAGAAAGATGAGGCTTTCTGCTCCCGTAAAGATTTATAGCCTCAACAACCCTATACAGGGTTACTATGAGTTGGAACCGACTCCATGTGGTGTCCTGGTGTGGCACTGTGGGATAAGCATAAGACTGCTAATCACAAGGTCAGCAGCTCCAACCCACCAGCCCTTTTAGGGGCCCTATGAGTGGAACCGCACAAAAATCCTCACCACTGGACCAATAAGCAGCATTCTTATCAACAGGGAAAAGATTGAAGTTGTCATTCTTCTTGCATCAATTATCAACACTCATGGAAGCAGAAGTCAAGAAATCAAATGAGAGAACAAATAAGATGGTGGATCAGGTGGAAGTACAGTAAAGGAGCTCCGTCAGCAACAACACAGAATACCGGACCACGTAGGCTCAGGTGATGGTCCCAGAACTCTGAACCACATATAAAGGAATATTTAGAAGGTTGGAAGACTTACGGCTGGGGGAATTTGTTGCAGAAGCAAGAAATCCATTGCTTTCTAATTCAATATGCTCAGCTGCTCCAGGAGCCGCCATCTTGGGTGAGGCCAAGTGGGGGAAGGATCGGAGTGACCACAGACACCTGGCAGAACCGCAGAGATAAAGGTGTGGATATTCTTTTCTTTTGGTATCTGTTCATTGGTCCCTTGCTGTCTGTGTACCTCCATTCTGGTCACTATAGGGGTGCCTGAGCGAGCGGAAACCCCAGCCCTACCCTCAGAGGGTTCTACTATGCATGTGCACAGATCTCCTCGAAATTTAAAGAGACAGTTTCCAATTAAAACCAAACAGCCACAGCTGGCCCTGAACTGTTTATAACTAGAAAAAAGACTTGACCAGGGATTGTGGAGCAGGACAGGCAGACAAAAAAGGAAATAGACCAAAAATTAAACCCTCAGTTATGTCAAAATGACCAATAGTGGCATCTTGAAATTTCTCAAGAAGAAGAGTGAAAAGGGAAGCCCATTTCCTGATCACATCTATCTGGAGGCAATCAGAAAGCATAAAAAAAATACCAAAATACACACCCATCTAAGGATTAAGGCCACAGATAACCCCTGAATATTCCCTAAAAATGGAAGCAGATGATCATATCTGCACATGTCCAGAAATGAGGTAAAGTGACTGAGGCAAATGAGCTGGAAGGAGACCTACACTCCATACTGGAAGATGGGCAGGCTTTGGAAATGCCTGAGAATGAATTCAGAAAAATGATTATAAAATGTACCAAAACACTATACAATGAAGTTGTGAAAAATAAGGAAGAAGTCAGGAAAGTGCTACAGGAACAATCAAATAAGATAGATACAGCATTGGAAACAATTCAAAACGTACAGAAAGAGGTCCAAATGATTAATAGTAGTATATCAGAAATGGATAATACATTGAAAGGGCAAAGGAATAGAATTGAAGAGATGGAAGCTAGAACTAGTGAGCTAGAAGATAAATCTCTCAACACTATGAAGATAGAAGAAAAAAATACAAAAAAGGATAAAAAAAAATCTGAAGAAGACCTAAGATTCATGTTGGATAACATGAAGAGGGATAACTTAAGAATTATTGGCATTCTGGAACAGGAACAATCACACAGGTCCACAAAGGAGATGGTTGAAGAGCTTCTGGAAGAAAATTTTCCTAACATCCTGAAAAGTGAAAAGATAAGCATTCAAGAAGCTCAACGAACCCCAGGAAGGGTAGCTCCTAAAAGAAAATCACCAAGACATATGATTATCAAGCTCTCCAAAATCAAAGATAAGGACAGAATCTTGAAAGCAGGTAGAGAAAAGAGAAATATAACATACAAAGGCAAGCAAATCAGATTAAGCTCAGATTTCTCAACAGAAACCACGTAGGCAAGAAGGCAATGGGGAGAGATATATAAAACCCTGAAAGAAAAAAA